AATATGTTATATATTTTAAAATATAACGCATATTTCAATTGAGATTAAATTAATTAGTATAAACTAGGATATAATTGTAAGTAAATATAACTATCAATTATAACTGTCTTAATATAAACAAAAATACCCCTAGCACAAATACCATCTGTTCAGTATAAATAAACTTAAAAAAACTTATAAAAACAAAAAGTAAATAACAGTAATTTACTTTTACCATCTTAATAATTAATTAATCAATAGTTTTATTACATTAATTATAGCTTATGCAATATTTTACATGTATTATTAGATATCAACACTTTTATAATATAATTCAGTTATGTATACTAATTTTTAGAAAATGTAAAATAATAAATGATTAATACTTAATGATTACTTAATTGAAGTAATCTTGCTTTTAAGTAATGATTTAAATAACATTTATAAAACATTTAATTTTATACGTGGAAACAATAAATAATTGTATATCTAAATAAATAACTGTAAATATATTATACACTTTTCTGAAATATTTATTAATTTACAAACATTAATATTTATTGGAAAAATTCGTGGAATTGTTAGACATTTTATTTAATATTTAGAAATAAACATTTTAAACGTGACCGCTGTCCATGCTACTTTTACTTTTTAACGCATAGGTTACTTTTGGCATTGCAAATCAATCCAGGATTACATATTTTGCTTAGGCTAAATGTTGATGCACAGTTTTGACCCTCACCTATTTAATTACCACAAACATGGTAAACAAAACAAATGTCACTTAATACACAATAAATACAACATATGATCATGATAATACATACTGAGATTTACTTGGCATACGGAACAGCACCGGCATAACTCGGGAGCGTAGTCCAGATACACCGAGTTAGGTATGGCAGCGCATTTGGTTGGGTCGGCCGGTGCGCACCTGACTCTCATACAATATTCCTTACATTCGGCTTTGGTTTTGGTGGCGCCCGAAACCAACTGTGTCTGGAAATAGGCGCCCATAAGGAATAATACGGTAAGTTTTATGGCGAACATTGTGATAATATTATATTATTAATATTAATTTAATAAGTGTTTTACAATGTTGTTTATATAGTAAATGTTGTGCCGTATTGTGCATAGAAATAGTATTTGTAGTAAATGTTGTTTAGAGTAGAGTTGCAAATTTTATTAATTTCCACCTCATTCCCATTCCCGTTTCATTTTATAATTTGCCAGTAATTATTTTTACTAATATACTTACATATTATAACTTTTATTTATTCAGTAAATTATATTATTAATAAAATAATTATACTAGTTATTGATTCTGTTGATTTTGTTTCTCTAATGTGTACAATAACTTTCATTTAAATAATTGTAGTATAAGTAGCGTTAATATATATATTTTTTAATTATAAACAATTTTTATAACTATCAGCATTAAATTTACAAAAATGAAATATTGTCCCATTATATAATTTGTTTGGGAATGATTTTTTAATGAGTAATAAATTTGTAAGCCTAGTTATGTACCATATTTGTTTTGTAAAACATGCGAGTAACTAATTAATAAATATAATTTATAACTGTAAATGCACAGTAGTGTTGTTGCAATTATTTAACGCTAAAACACGTGTTTTACAAACAAATATTATTTACTTATAAATACATACGGATGATATTTGTGCCAAGATATTAGTATCAAAGTTGACCTAACGCATTAAGTAAATTACTACAGTGTACAAATAAACAATTTCTGTATTTGTTTTCACATTTAAAGTGCAAACATTAGCTACATTGCTAACCATTGTAGATGTTTAGCGCGCGGATTCCAGGTGGAGACCAGTCAAAGCGGATCCCAAGCATTTCAAATGTAATCACAACTAATTATTTAAAAATAACTGTTTATACAAAAAAATACATTTTTAAAAATATTTATTAATTTACAGTGAAACATCTATGTTATCAACAAAATGGCGCGGGGGAATTTGGTTGATAACATAGAGGGGTTGACTACATAGAGATTAATTTAACATTATGCTATGTACTGTGGGTTTTAGGATTTGGTTGATAACATAGAGGAGTTGACAGCATAGCTGATTGACAAGACAGAGGTCTGACTGTATCAGCATTAATATTTATTTTAAAAATTCATGAAATTATTATAATTTTTATTTAATATGTAGCAGTAACATTTTAAACGTGATCACGCTACTTTTACTGTTTGACGCATAGGTTACTGTTGGCATCGCAGGTCAAACCTGGTTTACATCTTTTGCTAAAGCATAATGTTGGCGCACAGTTTTGGCCCACACCTAATTAATTACCACAAAACATGGTAAACAAAACAAATATCACTTAACAAACAATACTGACAAATATCATCATGATTATACATATTGAGATTTACTTGGCATACGGAACAACACCGGCATACCTCGGGAGCGTGGTCTAAATACACCGAGTTAGTTGTGAAAACGCATTTGGTTAGGTCGGCCGGTGCGCACCTGACTGGCATACAAAAACTGAATATATATAAAATTTGTTTTATCATCAATTTGTTATTAATTTCTGTCGACGACATACCCAACGACTGTCCTCTGGAACTGTTTGTACACACATTTGCTTTAAAACCAATCCCTAAGTGAAATTATAAGATAATATAAATGCACATAAATGTACACTTAATTTGTCCATTGATTTCTACGCATACATTTGCCGCTAACTTTTAAAACACTTAACAATTAAACAATATATTGTAGAATAAAGTATAATTCAATTTAAACTAGAAGTTCGGTATGATATCAAATGAGTTAATGATTACTTTCTAACAATTAAGTCTAATAGGTAAGAATAAAGAATTGTATAATTATGGAAAATGACTAATTTATTTGAGGCACTTTCTAGCGAGGCACGGTGTCTCGAACAGATTAGTCATTCTCATAATTATGTTGTAATGATCAAGTTCATCCCTACAAGAAATAAGCTATATTTATTAGGTTGTATCTAGGCAAACCGTTCGGGTGCTTTTTGGATTCTGTTTTCAGTTTTGAGCACAATAATGACTATTACAATTATTTATTCATTTTATAGCATTAGTTAAATATTATTTGTTATAATTTTCTGACTAATTCATCGTTTTTGTATAGTCTGCATATTAAATGACTCATTATTTGGTTTCCCTAATTGTATCACTATTCCTATATTTGTTCTAATCCTTTCCCGCTTTAATTTTAAATTCCTGTATTAGTAATTGTATTAAATTACAGATATTTTAGAAAATGCTTTTAATTAATGTTTTCCATATCATTAACTTTAACTACAAATTGTAATTAAAAGTTGTACTACAGATTGGAAATAAACTCCAAACTAACTACACGTATAATTTGTAAGTAACCAACTCAGCATTGAATTGTTTTAATTTATATAATTGTTTTATGTTTCTGTGTGCTAAATATTATGTGCGGTTAAATAAATTCAGCTCCGATACCAGTAACACCACAATTTAAGATAATTTATGTTTACCATAAAATTTATAATAAAACAAAATTATTATTAATTATAATAAATCATTTTTTTGTAATTTTATATTAATTAATAGTTATAACACATTTGACTATTCAAAAATGGCGTTCAAAACTATGCATATATTAATTATGGTGATTGTGTTTACTACTGCTGTGGAAATGAAGAGTAAGAAGGAATGCGAGAAAGATTGTAAGAGTGAATGCAATTATAGTGAAGGCGACCCCGAAGAAGGCAATGTAAAAATGACACGCGACCCCCAATTTATTAAACGCGCCGAGTGCAATTGCAAAGGCTGCGTTTTCACTAAAGCCGAAATGAGTGCCACCAAATGTCAATGCTGCAATGAATGCAACATAATCGTGGGTAAGTAATCATGGTGCTTTGAAATATATATATATTTGTTTAATATTTAATATATTTTTTAGCATAATAATGCAATTTAATATGGCAAACTATATTTATTAGTTTAAAATTTTAATTACAATTGTAATAATACTATTTATATAACTTGACCTAAACAAATATTTATATTTTAACATAATTAAATTTGAATAATTCATGTATTTGTTAGTATTATATAAATATAATTACTAAAGTGTTGTTAAAAATAATTTTTTATTTTACATCTAGGTAAGGGGAAAATTTGTGACAATGATAGAGAACATCCTGTTAAATGCGCAAAAGGTTTAAAGTGTAAAAGGAAACAGTATTTTAGTGAATGTGGATAAGAACATTGATCTTGGTACACTAATTCAAACAATATACAGTATAAGCTTACGCATGATCTATTTTGGGTTAACTTTATCAATAAACATTGATTAATATATTTACTATAATCTTGTGAACCATTTTGAATTAATATTTTAATAAAGTTTATTTGAATCAAAAATTATTTTGTTATATCATTTTATATTTGCATATATTATTTAAAATTATATTAGTTATTTTTAGTAAGATATAACTTATTTATATATAAAAACAATTTAAACTCGTTTTAAGCAACACCATGTTTAAATATGACTTAATGTTATATTGTTGTGACAGCAAAGTTTTTGTACTTATTATATCCAATTCATCATAAGTATGAAAACTTTAACATGGAAAGTATTTCGGTAAACTAGGTAAAAATACTTTAGGTGAACTATACATATACTCTTAAAGTTAAAGTTTTGCTCTGACTTTGAGAGTAAGTATTTTTTGATGAACGCTACTTTACTTTACTTATCCATTTTAGTGTTGTTGTTAATACAGGTTGTTCTTGAAAAATATTATAAATAAATGTTGTCAGGTGACTCTGTTTACTATTTTGTAATATTAAAGTTAAAGTTAAGTATTCTTTTAATGAACGCTAGCGGATTAATTTTTTGAAGTTACTCCAAAGTAAAGTATAGGAAAATACTAGTTATCAACATAATATTTATTTTAAAATGTCATTAAATTATTATAATTGTTATTTAACATGTAGCAGTAACATTTTAAACGTAGCTATGCTACTTTTATTGTTTAACACATAGCTTGGTGTTGATATCGCAGGTCAATCCTGGATTACACTTTTTGCTCAAGCGTAATTCTGGCGCACAGTTTTGGCCCACACCTAATTAATCAACACAAACATGGCAAAATAAACAAATGTCACTTAATAAACAATAATTACAGAATAGGTCATGATAATACATACTGAGATTTACTTGGCATACGGAACAGCACCGGCATAATTCGGGCGCGTAGTCCAAATACACCGAGTTAGATATGGCAGCGCATTTGGTTGGGTCGGCCGGTGCGCACCTGACAGCCATACACATACGCTTACACTCGGCTTTGGTTTTGGTGGCGCCCGAAACCAACTGTGTCTGGAAATAGACACCGATTAGGAATAATACGGTAAGTTTTGTGGCAAACATTATGGTAGTATTTTTATGATAATTATTTTAAAGTGTTTTAAAATGTTGTTTATATAGAGATGTGTCCTATTGTGCATAGAGATAGTATATGTAAATGTTATTGAAGTAGAGTTGCAAAATTTTTAAACATTTAGATTTCTACCACATTCCCGTTCTCGTACCATTGTATTTTTTTGTGTACAGCTTATTATTTGCCTGTAAATTCTTACGTTAATATATTTACTTTTTATAACTTTTATTTATGCAACCAATTATACTATTTTAATAAATATTGATTTATTGAGTTAAACATTAATTTTGTTTCTTGTAATGAGTTCAATATTTTCATTTAAGTAGTTAAGGTAATGTTAAAATTTATATTCTTAGTACTTAATTATAAATAATTTTTCTAACTATCTCCATTACATTTAGAAAAATGAAAATTTGATTATCAAATTATATAATTTGTTTTGGGAATAAATTTTTCAGGAATAATAGAGTTGCAAGCCTAGTTATGTGCTATATTTATTTTAGTAAAACATGCGAGTAATTAATTAATAAATATAATTTATAACGGTAAATGTACAATAGTTTTGTTGCATGTTTTTGCTGCTAAAACAGATATTATTTGCTTATAAAATTTTAAATAATTAATTGTATTGTACGGATGATATTTGTGCCGAGATACTAGTAGGTAATTAACTATTACATTTAGTTATAAGCCTGTTTTAGACAGTAATAATTATTGCAATTTTACAGAATGCTTATGTCAATTTATTTACTTAATTGATTATTGTTTCATACTAATACTACTGTAATTGTAATATGGTAAATCCTAATTATATTAAAAAAATCTATACCAGTGATCGTTTTCCGGGGCGACGGGTCGCTACGCAACTGATACGACTCCGATCGCAAACTAATCCCTCAGCGCACCGGACCGGGGCTATTGAGTTTTCAACCCCACAGCTTTGCCCTTCATCTAGATGTAAAATTAAAAATTATTAATTGTTTCCATTATTAATTAAAGTATAATCATATTATTAAGTAAGCTATTGTTTTATTGACTATTGTACTTTTTTTTATTTAAAGTATATTAAATTAATTTTATTGTTGCTACAATATTGTCATGACACTAAGTTAGTTATTATTTATAAAAATAATTAATGTTTGGTATTTTATTAATTGTCTTTACGACCAGATTAGCCAAGCTCAAAGTAAACAACATGATCACTTACATCTGAATTTAACGCACTGTTGACAACACTGGCATTTGTCGGGATTGTAGGCCAGGAAAGTGGCCCCACGTATACTTTGGCAAACTTGACGCCCGGGCCCACTCGCGCAGCGCACTCGCGAACATAGACCCCGACATTGGGCCGGAGTCTGACGTGTTTGTGTCCACACGGTTAACATGCAAATGCCCAACAGTATCATCATGATTATTGTACGGTGAATTTTGTTTGACATTGTTGACAAAACTGTAATAACTATTTATTTATAAATGTTGGCAATATTTATTTTAAATAATTAATGCAACTTGGTAGATATAATTGAAAATTTATTTTAATTTTTTAACTAAAACAAAGTTTATTTATATAGCGTTCAACTAGGGGAAATAAATGTATTTTAAGCAACCTTGGTGAGCATTTTAACATTTTAAGTTATTTTTTACATATATATCAATCAGACAATAATATAATACATTTGTTTATTGTATTTTGATGTATTGATATTGTATATGAAAATTACTTATGAATCTTATTATAAATTTTAAACTTTATTTTACCAATTTGTAACTTTAACGCCAACGACAATTGAATTATGGGAAATCCTGGTATTTTAACAAACAATATTACTAGCTCATTGTTGAAAACAATCTTTATTATTTTTATGAACACGTAAAATAAATTAAATCTACTTAATTATATACATTAAATATTTAATTATTTTAAATATTTAAACTTAAATACATATAATATTAAAATATTTTTTATTATATCTTTACTCATTCAAGTAATCATTACTTTGTTTATAACTTAATAATAATTGTTTAACTTTTAAGTAAATAAATTTACTAATATTTGTTAAATGCTGTCTAAAAATAATCTCAAATATAAAAATTTAATACGAAATATACCAATGACGATTTATAAAATATAAAAATCATAGTATTTATTGATAAAATTATTTTATAGATAAGAATAATTATATTAGAAAGTTTAATTTCTCTAATACTCATCAGTTATGCTATTATTTTTAGACTTCCAAATAATTGATAAATTAGTTTTTTATTTGAATATGCCAAATTTAGATTTACAGGCGAATCTGTTGTAATTATCTATACATTGCCAAAAATATGTTTTGTCATAATAAATATGGTAAAAATAGTGGTTCATAATATGCTAATAAACCGACTTATAAAATAAAATAATTTAAATATATGAATACGTAAAACACTTAAGACTTATTAATAAAAAAATATATAAATAATGATATAAATAAAGTTAATTGCCATAGTTTATAATATAAATATTACAACTTAAATGTACATTTATGTAAATATATTGTCAATATATAATACCTAAAAGCAAAGTAATTTTATTTTATTTGTAAGGTTTACTTACAATGTTATCGTTTCTAACAAATTATTATTAAACTCAGCCATATTTGATTATGTATTGCAATATATTGTTAGTGTTATTCATATCGTATTTATTGATTAAATTATGGCATAAATATAAACCTAAAGTATTGGTGACATCAACGGGCAAAGCAGTAGTTATAACGGGTGTGTATTATAAATAAATAAATATTATAAATAATGTGCAATGCAAGACTACTTAATTTATATACAAATCATCATATTAAAGTTAAACCAATTAAATTAAAATTACTATAATTACGTTGCAAAATAAATCTCAATAAATTAGTTAATTTTATTTTTCATTTACCATTCAATTATTTAGTAACTTATATTTAAAATTATTTAAATTATGTTATAATAACAATTTGCTTCTTTATTACCTTAAAGGTTGTGACACAGGCTTTGGTCACAGACTGGCGCTGCGTCTCAATGAACGCGGGTTTCGAGTTTACGCGACCGTCATATCCGAGTCCAGTGCCGGCGCACAGCAGTTGACTTCTAAGGCACAGTTTGCACACAAAATGCATGTCATAGGCATGGATGTGACCAAACATGATCAAGTTCAAAAGGCATATGATTACGTAACATTGCATTTAAACGAGAAAAGCTATGGTGATTGTCTGTGGGCTTTGGTTAACAACGCCGGCGTAACTTCTGAAGGCCCCATAGAGTGGGGATCACCCGAACAGTACGAACTGGTGTTTGCCGTAAATATGTTTGGACCGATACGAGTGACCCGTACTTTCCTGCCCCTCATTAGAGCATCAAAAGGTAATTTTAATAAACAAAGTGTAATATAACCTTTTTCTCACTTGAAGTTAAACTATTACCTTTTTAAAACTAATAACTAATTTTTGTAAAGGTCGCGTTGTAAACATGGTCAGCATAATGGGTCGATTCTCGGTCAGCCCATTCGTTTGGTACTGTATGACCAAACACGCATTGACCGCCTTCTCGGACACATTACGTCAAGAAATGCGGTCATTCGGCGTACGTGTGGTGACTGTAGAGCCGGCGGGCTTTAGCACAGGTTTGGCAGACGAGTCAAACAGATTTACCGCTGTGTGCCGTTTGTGGCGACAAACAGCGCCCGAAATACAAAACGCTTATGGTTATAACAGTGAAAGTGACTTGAAAAAGTTACTAGCTAAATCTACAGATAAGTTTAAGCCGAGTCCTAATCTTGATATTGTGGTCAATGATTTGTGTGATGCCGTACATAATGCTGAGCCTCGGGTTAGGTATACACCCGTTGATGGTATTGTGGCTAAAATACTTGTGGCAATTGTTATGCATATTCCGTCGGAATGGCTAGATCGAATATTTTGGTTAACTGATAACTCTGCAAAGTAGCAATAATCACGTTAATAACTATTTGTCTTGATATAAAACTAGTTTTGTTAACTGGTCCTTTATTTTAATATGACATTTTATGACAATATTGAAATTTAATTATCGATATAGAGATTAATTTTAAAATATTAGTTTTGTATTTTAATTAAATTAATAATTTAAAAATATTTAGAATTGTTTATTAAGATAATTTAGTTAAGATATCAAATTAAAAACTAATATAAATTTCTTTACCATATGGATATATTTATATGGTACACATTATAATACAGTTATAATAAATAATTTTAAATAATATTTACTATGTTGTTCATTGTAACAAATTATTATCAAACATTGTTAAATATTTTGATTATGTTTAGCAATATTTTGTTAGTATTATTTATCACGTATTTAGTAATCAAATTATGGCATAACTATAAACCTAAAATCATGTTGACATCAAAAGGGAAAGCAGTGCTAATAACTGGTAAGTAATCTAAAGTAATCTAATCTAGTTTAATCTAGTTTAATATATAGAGTAATTTAATCGTTATATATTAAATTTTATGGTACCTTATATTTATATAAATTACACAAAAATAGTCTAATTTAATCAATTATAAACATTAAAGTAAAAACTAACATTTGACTTAAATGGTTGTATAGTTTAATACTCAAAATATGTCATTCATACTTTTTATTTATTACCTTAAAGGTTGTGACACAGGCTTTGGTCATAGACTGGCGTTGAGTCTCAATGAACGCGGGTTTCGGGTCCGAGTACCGAGACCGTCATATCCGAGTCCAGTGCCGGCGCACAGCAGTTGACTTCTAAGGCACAGTTTGCACACAAAATGCATGTCATAGGCATGGATGTGACTAAACATGATCAAGTTCAAAAGGCATATGATTAC